CTTTTATGATCAGGTCACAAAGGCCATGGATGCAGGTGTCGCGGTGGATGTAGTCTTTCTGGACTTCAGCAAGGCCTTTGACACCGTCTCTCACCCCATCCTAATTAGTAAACTAGGCGACTGTGGCATAGATGCCTACACGGTCAGATGGATTGCAGATTGGCTGAAGGGTCGCACTCAGAGGGTGGTGGTGGATGGATCATATTCGACTTGGGGGGAGGTGGGTAGTGGAGTCCCTCAGGGCTCGGTCCTGGGCCCTGCGCTGTTCAATGTCTTCATCAGCGATCTTGATGTTGGGGTGGAGAGCAACCTGTTTAAATTCGCTGATGACACCAAAATTTGGGGGGAGGTGAGCACGCTAGCAGGGAGAGAGAGATTGCAGAAGGATCTGGATAGGTTACAGGGGTGGGCAGACAGGAACAGGATGCGTTTCAATACGGACAAGTGCAGGGTGCTGCACTTGGGTAGTAGGAACCAGCAGCACACTTATAAGATGGGGAGCTCCCTACTTGAGAGCACGGAGGCGGAAAGGGATCTTGGTGTCATTATTGACTCCAAGATGAACATGGGCCGACAATGCGAGGTCATGGTTGGCAGGGCTAACCGGACCTTGTCGTGCATCCACAGGTGCATCTCGAGTAGAGCCAGGGAGGTGATCCTCCCCCTCTATGCGACGCTGGTCAGGCCGCAGCTGGAGTATTGTGTCCAGTTCTGTGCGCCCCATTTCAGGAGGGATGTGGACAACATGGAGAGGGTCCAGAGGAGGGCCACCCGCATGATCCGGGGACAACAGGGCAGACCCTACAGTGAGAGACTGCGGGACTTGAACCTATTCAGCCTCCACAAGAGAAGGCTGAGGGGGGACCTGGTGACCGTCTATAAACTCACTAGGGGGAACCAGAAGGGTTTGGGGGAGACGCTGTTTCCCCTAGCCCCTGCTGGCATAACAAGGAATAATGGGCACAAGTTGATGGAGAGGAGGTACAGATTGGACATCCGAAAAAACTACTTCACAGTCAGGGCGGCTAGGAGCTGGAACCAACTTCCAAGGGAGGTGGTCGGGCTGGAAGATCTATTAGGTCCCTTCCGACCCTAAAACTATGAAACTATGAAACTTCTAATTACCTAGTAGCAACAACAGATTAGGAATGAGTAGAATTTGGGTCGATTGTCAGATGAGATAGTCTCAAAACTCCCATGAAACAACTCTCAGCTGAGAGAATAAAAAAAAAAAATCTGAAGTAAAATCACAGATTTGAATCAAAAAAAAAAATTAAGTGCTTAAAGAAAGAAAAATAGATAACAATGCATAAGGTAGTTTGTTCCACAGCCACTCTCTTAGAATTCTGTAGAGTTCACTTGACATTCAGCACAAAGGACCAGTCTTCCCAGTAACAGCCATTGGTGAGGGAAATCATATCTGGGAAACTAAAATCAGGGTTTTAAAATGTTATTCAGCACTAACATTTAAGTAGATCAATGTCCATAATTGCTGAGCACTCACAAAAATTCCATTGAAGCTAATAGGACTTGCAAGTGCCTAGACCCCTGAAAAAAAAATCAAGCTATTTCTGTAAACATAATAGACTCATAGAAAAATTAGTCTGGAAAGGCTATCAGAAGGTCACCCAGTTTAACTCTTCCCCCCGTCCCACAGAATCATCCCAGTCTAAACCATTTGCAAACAAGTGTTTGTGTAACCGCCTCTTAAAAACGAGCAAGGATGGAGATTCTACAGCCTCTCTAGGTAATCTGTTTCAATGCTTAACCGTCCTTAAGACTTTATAGGTCATGAGCATAATATAAAGCAACTGCTTTATGTGGTCAGAAAGTGACCTGTGAAGACTTTAATATCAAGAGCTTATAGCCTGCTTGTGACAATTTGTATAGTACAACACTCATTTGCAATCAATTACCCGTAAATTGTTACAGCTTGTCATTAATGAATAGGAAACACTGGCTCAGTGATAGGACTTTTTTTCACAGTGCTTGCAAGCAAAAATGTACATGTTCCTGTCAGAAAACATAGCTCTCTTTCAAGGCTGGCAGAAACAATGCAATTGATTTTCACAGTTAACAAGATTAAAATCTACTTTAATGTATTTAACATTTCATCTTATTGAGCATCAGCTCTAATGAACAATGTTTCTCAATTTTTGCTAATAAAAAGATGTTTAAAATTACCTCCTCATCATTCAAGTTTTACTCACTTTTTCATATTTTCAAGATCAAAGATTTCTATTAAGACTTCGTTCTGCAGTTCTTATGCAACATTTAGTGGGAGTTTTGCTTCAAGACACTGTTCAATGTGTGAATGGAAATTCTTTGATTCATATTAGCAGACTTTGGATCTAGTTTTGAGTGCTTAGCTGTATTAACAAGAGGAAGTGTTTTCTAAAATGAGATGTAACCGGAGAAATTTGTCACTTGTTAATATTTCCTAATAATAATAAATGTAAAGTATATTTAGAGCCAAAGACTTCCCTTCATGTTTCTCCAGATAGTTAACAAATATGTACAGATTGTGCAATGTGTTATTTAACTTAGTCATTATAAGCAGGGTTTATGTAAGTTTCCCTCCTCATTCTTAGTTTATGACCAAGCAATAGATGGATTACCCAAGACTAAAATACTGTTGGATAATTTTTAATGACTTGAACCAGAGGGGAAAAATCCTTTTTGGGCCATAACAGCAATCTTTCACTGTTATAAAAAGTACTGCAGAAAGCACAGAGAGAGACACTGAATAAACATTATATAAGATAAAGATAAACTACCGTGTCAAAGTCAAATATCTTTTAATCCCACAGTTACAATTCTATTTTTACAAACAGCTGGAAAATTTTCTTAGCTACATTAAAAGTGATTTGTGTGGAATGTGTGGCATACTAAAAAGTACACTTTTGTCTGCAAAATACAGATTTGGCATCTTTAAAACAACATTTTTAAACTTCCTTCAAACAATATTTCTACATGTTGCATAACAGGGCTACAGTGTAATCTATCTACACATTTCTAGTATTCTGTCACTGGCATGTAAGTGTCCATGTCTTCTATTTTTTTAAGTCCTCTGTGCTACTGTCCCTTGCACTGTAAAATGTGGTTGCTTCCTTGCACCTGTCACAGCCCCAGCAAGATCAATCTACATCTGTACAAAACCCAGGGCCAGCCCCATGCATTTATATTCACTGCCCACTACTGAAAATGGACCTGCATAACTAAAAAATACCCATTAAGAATGGCTAGGTGTGACAGAATCTATATTCTCTGCCTGCCAAAGATAATTATAGAGCACCAGTCACTATCGTGTCTAGGTATTGCTGTTAAGTCTAGCTGTTTGCAGTCTGCTTGTATTTGCTCATTCTATTTTCCGGGAAAGCCTGCTGAATCAAGAAGTCAAGCCAAAGAATGTGAGTTAGGCAATGAAAGCTATGGCTTGCGAGATCAGTTTCAGTCACATTTGTCAGACTGCTAAAGGTATACCCAAGAGCACACAGGGACATCTCAGGTATTGGCCATTTGCTTAGAAATATTTTGCTGTATGTTGATTTCTAACTTGCTTTTGCGCCTGCAGAATGTTGATGTTGACTCATAAGATCTTTTAACAAGGAAAGGATTGAGTTTCTATAAGTGTTACCTGTTGTCAAGAAATATGGCTGATTTTTCTCCTTTTCTTAAAGGTTGCTTATAAGCTAACATTAAAAAAGTATCTTCCAGCTGTTTGATGATGTTAGACATTCTGAACGGCTTTTAGTTTTGTTTTGAAAATAAAAAAAAATATCTTTATGTTTTACCTTAGGAATGCTAAGCCTTGTATTTCCTGTTTTTCATGGAGGACTCTTTGAACAATTAAAGATCTGTGGAGAGAACTTTTTTGTCCTTCAGATGTTGAGGAAGTGTTAATAACATTTCACCAACTATTTGTCAAGTGTTTTGGTTCAGTACAGATTAATCAAAGCATGTTTTTAAAAGTAATTGTAAAAGTCTAATTAACAGTTCCTTCTCATTTGTTGAGATTTCCCGTTTCTACTTGAGATGTCAATCTCACATTTTTCAGTCAACCAGAAATTCTTTCAGAAAAACAGAGTAAACAATGCATTATTTTTAAGTGTGAAAAAATAAGCAGTAAATCATCAGGGAGTTGTATTGGGATAGTGACACTAGTTCAACAATACCAGAATAACTACCCACGTAGAAAAAGCCATTGGAGATGACTTTTGAACTGATTGGGCAGAGACACAGGAACAAGTCACCATCAGTTCTCTCACTGAAAGAGGGGTAAACTACTCTGGATTAGCTTCCATTTGCTGCAGGGTAAGAGTGTATGGACAGGCAGAGAGAGTGGAAGTGATGCTCAGTAAATCCCGACTCCTTTTCCCCTTCTGGTAACTTGTTCATGTGCTCTTGCCCTACTTAGAAGCAGTCAATTTAAACAAATTGAGTCCCGATTAAACCAATAGATTATGTTTCCCAGCTGCAAGGCTTAAGATTCCCCCTACTTATCTTCTAAACACTTAGGATAGTTGAGGGAAGAATCTGAAATAGATAGTATATCCAGATCAGGAGAAGCATGTTTGTTGTAAGTAAGAAAAAAAAAAAGGAGATAGTGAGTGAAAGCTTGTTTAGGAGTGGAGAGGGGAACCTGCTAAGGCACAAGATGCACAATTAAATAATAAAAGAGCTCTGTTGTCTGTCCCTGATTTCTCTTGTGTTAGTTTAATTGTGATACAATCCCACTGTCTTCAGTGAAGTTACTGACACTGGTACTGCAAGGGCCGAAAAAACACTTTTACAAGAGGCTGAAGTTATCATCAGAGAGTTATTAGTCACCACAAAAAAAAAATCCTTGCTTTGGCACAGCTGCGTGTGATCCACTGGATGCACCTCTGAGTAATATAAGCAGTAACAGGCCAGATACTTTGCTGATGTAAACTGATGTGCAGCTGCATTGACAAACAGATAGGTGAACTAGTTTACACCAGCAGCAACTCATTTGTGTCTCTGTGTCATCTCAGTTTGTTTCTGCAATGTGTAGCCCACATCAACCATGGGACCTTGGAGATGTAAATTAAAACCTGCCACCATTACCTTTATTTATTAAAAACTAAATCACCCAAATGAAAGAGCTAACACTTGTTGGTTGGTTTGTTCCCTCCCTTCCCCAGATCCTGTCTCTACAGGTAGCAATAATGGTTCCTCTGCTGTTTCTGCTGTTCTTTGGATATATCCTTTCAATTCCTGGCTGTCCCCAGAAGTGCTTTTGTATCCGCTCTTTAACAGATTGCCAGCATGCCAATCTAGATGAAGTTCCTCCTGATTTTGACCAAAAAACAGAAACATTGATCTTGAATGAAAACTGTCTACGTCTCATTCCACGAGGAGCCTTTCAGAACTTCCAGAATCTAACTTTCCTTGGTTTAGCTCACAACAAGCTCTTGCTTCAGAATGATTCTTTTGAAGATATCAGCAACAGCATCCTCTCTTTGGATCTCTCTGGAAACAGCTTCACAGACCTGCCATCAAAATTGTTCAAGAACACAAAGAAACTTGTTTGGTTAAACTTAGCCGATAACAGACTAGATCTTCTGGACATCAACATTTTCAGCACCTTAGAAAAACTCACTTACCTGGACCTCTCCAATAACAGACTGCAGAAGCTTACATCCATGTTTGTAGGTCTCTCTCAGCTTGATACCTTGATGCTGGCTAGTAACTATCTCCACACCATACCACAAGGAGTTTTTGATTCTACTCCTAAACTTAAGATCCTTGATCTGTCACACAACAAAATAAGCCATTTGCCCAAGTGTTTATTTAACAGCACAATGAATCTCAATGACTTGCTTCTTGATGATAATAATTTTACAGTGATACCACGTGCTGTATTCACAGTCTTCCACAACCTAGAGCATTTCTCAATTTCTAAAAATAGAATCCAAAATGTTTTACCATTTGTGTTTGTTAGCAAGTTAAGAAAACTTGACCTATCTAATAATTTACTCTCAGTGCTGCCTTGTGATTTCCTTTCAGGTCTGAAGCAGCTGGAAGTTCTCAATTTATCTTTAAATTGTTTTGGAAATTTTCCCAGCAATCTATTCATAAATAATACTAAGCTAGCATTTCTGCATTTGGATAAAACCTGTCTCAGCACTTTACCCATTGTTTCACGCCTTCGAAATATGAGTGAGCTGACACTGTGCTGTAATGCCATAAAAAACTTGCCAAGAAAATTCACAGACAATATGGTCAATTTGAAACTGTTGGATCTCTCCAATAACAACATCACAAAAATAGAGGATGGTGCACTTAAGATGAATCCTAATCTCACAAAAGTAGTTTTGACTGGGAATCCAGTTTTTACAACTGAAAGAATTAATTACACTTTCAAAGGGTCAGACTGAAGAGTATACATTAAAAGAAGATACTAGAATAACTGTATCAGGAAATGCTTTCTGCTACCTTAATTAAAAATGTAATGTACATATTACAAGAAATGTAATTATTTCTGAGCTACAAGTACTATCTTCTAATAGCACATGCATTACAAAGCTTCTTTGAACTCACTGCACTCTCTGATATTGTAGTACTGGTGACAGGGTACAGCTGTCCATTTCTTACACTAATTTAAATGTTTAATTTTTGTCTCATTATTGTATATCTTTTCTAAGTCTTACAACTGGTTATGTATTGTATATAAATATGAATATTTGAAGGACCATATGGTACTGTGGTATGAGGTGACATGAATTGGGAATTGCCACAGTGTCACAATGGTGAATCTACAAGAGTTAATATGGTCACTCACACTGAGTGCTGATAAAATCCTGATATGACACAAATTGCACTCTCTTTGTCCCATTCCTTCCACCTCTCCAATTCGTTCCACCTCTTTTTTTAGGAAGCTAGGTGCCTTATTGCTGTGAGTTCAGCTGACTGAGAGAGGTTCAGAAGGAGCTCTTAAAGCCTCTAAACTTACAAAAAACAGCTTGGCTATATGTAAAAATGTATTTTTAAGGTCTGATATCCTAGATAATTTCACAGTTAAAACTTCCATTATTAAGTTTCTGTTGGCAATGCTGCTCCTTCTGACCTGACATACTTTAACAGTATCACCTTTTTATGTCTAGAAAAGTTTTAATCATTAATCTTGTCCTCATGGGGCCACAAACAGGGATACATATTTTGGGAAAAATATGTGTGTATATATGAAGGAAGAAACATTTCAGTGACAGGCTACTTTAGAAAAGCAGTTCTTTGAAGGTACACCAATTGGAAATATTGACGTACAGGACCACTAGCTAGTGCCCTTGTTAAAATGTGCAACCCAATGGAGAGTTAGGAGGCTTCCCAATCCTACTGAGTGAACTTAATTTAACCCACTTGTGTTTTTTCTTAATTTCATCATATAGGCATGCCTGTACAGCTTAAGAGAGACAATGGGGTCTTTCTGTTTTTGAAACACCTCCTACAGATTTCTAGATCAAAGGTGATCATTCTCAATGACTTTCTGCAGGATGGGTTTTACACACACACACATATAACCCATGTATATACACAGTATATGGGTTATAAATTAGAACTTTTATGTAAGTTTATTTTGTGTGCGCTTGTGTGTATGGGTTATAGGTATCTATCTATGTGTATAGCTCTTTCTTTCCTATATGTATATATATGTATAGCTCTTTCTTTCTTTCATCTAGTTATCTATCTACCTCCTTTTCTTTCTTCTATCTGTCTATCTAGGTCGTTCTTTCTTGCTTGCTTTCACACACACTAGCGAGTAGAGAAGTTCTAATTGATGACCTTCTAAATGCGTAAACCCCGTAGACAGAGGCGGGAGACAACGGAGGGGATCGTGCGGATGGGTGCAGGAGTCCAGCCAGAGGAAGGCGGTGTGCGCCCCAGGAAGGGGCGAAGAAAGAGTGGGTCTCTGCGCCCCATATGTGTCTGCCCGAGCTTCCCACGCCGGGAGGCAGCGTGGCCCCTTTAAGAAGGCCGGGCCTCCGGAGCTTGTGCTTGCGCCTATTGGAGCGAGCACAGAGTAACGTGTCCCTGTCATGGCAGCCACTCCAGGTAGCAGATTCCTGAGCACTGTCTCCAGCTGATCACAGCGTGCAGCACCTGTGCCTTGATCATCCTCACCGGGACGGGGGAAATGCTTTGACAGATGTATTTAAAGAGACCTGCAGCTGGTCTCTCCTTCTGTCTCTTCTACTTGGCTTCTTATTTCACCAACAAGGTGAGGGGGAGCCGCAAGCTGGCTTGTGTGAATCCACTGCCTGAGCAATCCTCTGTGGATTCATCTCCTTGGCTTCCCGCCCAGGTTCCCCAGGCTGGCAGGCTGCGCAGGGCATGCCTCCCTTCCTCCCCGCACCACATTTCCTTGCCTGCTGCAGGAGGAGCTGCTCATTCACTTTCAGTCTCTCCTGCAAGTGTAAAGATGCCAGCCGGTCGTAGCTAACTGCTGACAAAACCATTTTCTCTTTGCAAATAGCCCTTATGCACTGGCAAAAATACTCGGGTGGGAACAAAAGGGGGTACTTGTATGGAGGCATCCACCCCGTGTATATCAGGGAGACCTCCCACCCAAGAATCCCTCCTTTGACTCTAAGACAGTGGTTTTCCACCTTTGCCTCTAAGAGAGTGGTTCTCCACCAGTGGTCCTGATTTTGTATCAGGATCCATTTGTAAACATCAATAGCCAGCCCCAACCCAGTACCCATCACTCCTCCCAGCCCCACAGTGTCTGGAGCAGGGTGGCATGTATTTGGGGTAAGGGAGGCCCCAAGCAGCCCCTTGCAAGCTGGAACGCTGCCAGCCTGCAAGGGAAAAGCCAGGGTTTCCCACATTTTTCTCCTTTAAAGGAGAATCCATTTTAAAAGTTTGTTGATCCATTTTTAAAGTTTGCTTGTGACCCGTTCATATATTCTTGCAACCCACGGGTTGAGAAATACTGCTTTAAGAGGATGCATCTCTGCAGCTGGTTAAAGCATGCCATCTAGAAGAATATCAACATAATCCCCTCCTGCTGTTACACCCACTGGGAAGTGGAGAGGGGGAAAGTTAGGTCAGAGGAAAATCTGGAAGTGCTGAAAACGAAAGTTGCTTTTGGGGCTATACATAATATGTATATTACATGGTTTGTGGTGGGCACAAGATAAACCTTTGGTTAAGTGACTGAAATAGCTTTTGGTGGGAAGAATAAATGGTATGATAAGGATCTCCTAGCGTGTGTGTGTGTGTGTGTGTGTGTGTGTGTGTGTGTGTGTGTGTGTGTGGTGGGGGGTGCTTACTGTACTGTATGCTTACTTAAAACTCATCATCATTGTCCATTTCTTCTCATTTTATAACTCTGTCGGAGAGCTGATATTGAAACTTGAGGTCAGATGATCTCTTCACTTACTCAAGGGTCAAGTAGGAATAACACCACTAAAATCAATAGAATTAATTTGGTGTAAATTAGATGAGGCTCCGGCCTGTAGTTTCTTAAAGCTGACATTAAGCATTATTCTGTTGCTCACGAGTGCTGGGTGGCTATCCCTTTTCCCCCTAATAAAAAGGAGAGTTGAAATATTTTAAATTCCTTCATAAATAATTGACAGGAATTAAAAAAAAATGGAGATGAGAGGGCGACCACCAAATTTGGGCCTGTTATTGTTTTTTCAATACAGTGCTAGGCACTGTACATACATATCTACAAGTATGTTGGTAGCAAGAGGAGGATCAGGGAAAGTGTGCCCTTACTGAATGGGGGAGGCAACCTTTTGACAGAAGATGCAGAAAAGGCTGAAGTACTCAATGCCTTTTTTGCCTCAATCTTCACAGGCAAGGTCAGCTTTCAAACTATTACAGCAGGCAGCAAAGTTTGGGAAGGAGATGAGCAGCCCTCAGTGGTGAAAGAACAGGTTAGGGAGTATTTAGAAAAGCTGGACGTGTACAAGTCCATGGGGCCAGATGGGATGCACCCAAGGGTGCTAAGGGGGTTGGCTGATGTGACTGCAGATCCACTGGCCACCTTTGAAAACTTATGGTGATCAGGAGAGGTCCCAGATGATTGGAAAAGGGCAAACATAGTCCCCATATTTAAGAAGGGGAAAAAGGAGGATCCAGGGAATTATAGACCAGTCAACTTCACCTCAGTCCCTGGAAAACTCGTGGAGCAGATCCTCAAGGAATCCATTTCTAAGTACTTGGAGGAGGAGAAGAAGGTGATTAGGAACAGTCAGCATGGATTCACCAGGGGCAAGTCATGCCTAGCCAACACGATGAGATGACTGGTTCTGTGGATTCAGGGAGACCAGTGGATGTGTATGTACCTTGATTTCAGCAAGGCTTTTGATACAGTCTCCCACAACATTCTTGCAGGCAAGCTAAAGAAGTACGGGTTAGATGAATGAACTGGAAGGTGGATAGAAAATTGGCTGGAGTATCGGGCTCAGAGATTAGTAATCAATGGCTCAATGTCTAGTTGGCAGCCTCTATCAAGTGGAGTGCCCCAGGGGTCAGTCGTGGGGCCGGTTTTGGCTGGGATAATCTAATTGGGGATGGTTCTGTTTTGAGCAGGGGGTTGAACTAGATGACCACCTGAGGTCCCTTCTAACCCTAATTTTCTATGATACTATGATTCTGTATCCTCTCCTTGTTCTGCTGGACCTGTTTTTGACTGTTGTCTTGGATTTCCAAGACATGCAAATTTCAATGCCCTACCACTTACAAGAGCAGAGGATGGCATCTTTGCAATCAAAGAATGTTAATGATGGATCCAGTAATTATAATACTTCAGCTGTGTCAGTTAAACATTCCTGTAACAGCATTATTAGGTATGTAATGAATATTGGATGCAGAAGCAGTAAAGAGTTGTTACATTATCTAGGTTGTCTCCCTGTCCAACTAGATAATGTCACAAGTATAAATTCACAGCAGTCACCATTAAAAATAGAACACTACCATAGTATTATTCATAAGGGAACACTGCAAACACAGAGGCACCTTATCAGTTTACCCAAGAAGAAAATGTCAAGGTTAGAAAGGGCAATCATAATAGCTAAACAAAGGTTAGTATCCATGAGTCTATCCTGTGGCCTCATTAAGCTGTAAATTAAGGGAAAGAAACCTGCTTTCTCCTGCGCATTGCAATTTCTTATGAATGCTACAGGAAGATCCATTGAGAAACAGAAGGCAAAATATGCAAGAGATGCACACTGTGAATAAAAAAATTCATAGCCTAAAATTAATCTGATATAGTTTAATTTACTAATTTGTTCATTACGTGCCAGAGTGTGTGTAGGCAAGGTTTTTTGAGTAGATGTGATATCTTTTATTAGATCAACTGAGTAGCTGGAAAAAAGTTCATGGCAAGCTTTTGGGCAGTCACCCTTCTCCGGGCATAGGGAGTCTCTGCTGTTCTGAGTTTGTGTGTGATGTTGCTCTCCTATGTTAGGTGTTTCACAGGTTTCTTAAGTAGGCCAGTAAGAGTGATGCTGAAGTTATTTTCAGTGGTGACAGTGGGCAATAACTCCATATAAGTCAGCAAAACTGCTGTGGCAAAAATGGCACAAATGAGATGAGATTCTGTCCCAGAGTTCATATTTTAAATTGGGTGGGGGGAAGAACTAGTCTGATAAATACTTATTCTTATTAATATAGGATGTAATATTAATATAATAGCCTAGCAAGGCTGTAATATAATAGTAGGTATTATATAATAGTATAATATTAAGTAATATAATAGCCTAGGCAGGCATGTGCAATGTGCTTTCTTAGGGTCATCGCTCCTGTTACTTTTGGAAAATTACCCCCCCAAAAATCCATGTACCTTGCAAAAACATGCCAAAAATTAACCCCAGTTGAATTTGCAGATGGACCCATACCAACTTTTCATTCAGAAATGGACAGGCTTTGAATTAACATACCACAGAGGTTGGTATGTATTAATCATTGTTAAACTCCTCATAAATCAAGCATGTGGTGGTATATCTTTAAAAGCTATAAATGATGAACAATAAAGCCCAGCTCTGTTAAACAGCATCTTTATGTGAGAGACATTATATTTCTGTGAGCCATGCAAAAGCTGTAAAAATATATGTTTGATGAGTTTCTTGTAAGACTTTTCAGCTGTTCCATAGTGGCACGTATCTGAATCACAAAACCTAAATATTTTTCATATTTCAGCACACTTTGACCTAATTATTCCTAATGTTTCAGTCATTGCAGGCACGATGGACTATGATCTCACAGGGGCAGGAAACTGCTGTCAGTGTATGTTAAAAAACAAGTGTGAACCAGTTTCAGTATTTACTTGCCCTAGAGCAACACTTTAACCCCAATATGATAGCAGGGTGTAGGTTGTCACCATGTTGGTTTCAGGACATAGGCAGACAAAGTTTTTTGGGTAGATCTGATATCTTTTTTTAAACCAACTCAAATACTTGGAAAAATTCTTCTTTGGAATATGGCCACCCATATGATCAGGGCGTGGAGGACAGGTATGAGGAGAGACTCCGGGAACGGTTTGTTTAGTCTGAGTAAGAGAAGACTGAGAGGTGACTTGATAGCTGCCTACAAGTATGTCAGGGGCAAACACCAAGATGTAGGGGAGTAACTTTTCAGAAAGGCACCCCTTGGGAGGACGAGGTCCAGTGGGCATGAGCTAGTTGAGGAAAATTTGTGGGCTTAGACATAAGGAAAAACTTCTTTTCCATAAGGACATCTAGAATCTGCAACACACTCCCAGCAGAGGTGGTGCAGTTGCCATCCCTGGAGGTGTTCAAGAGCAGGCTGGACAAGCACCTCGTTGAGCTCGTTTGAGTCCAAATACCTCTTGCCCTCTGGCAGGGGACCGGACTTGATGATCTTACGGGTCCCTTCCAGTCCTACTATTCTATGGTTCTAGTCTATGATTCCATTTTCTGTATCAGAGGACCCCTGTGGTGCTGGAATAAATCACATGAATGATTATATGGTTTTGTTTGAGCAACAAGTATGTGGATTTTAATAGGACAGGTAGAGATATCTGGTTTTGCTTAAAGACAAGGCAATATCTTTCACCTTAGAGGGTACGGATTTGTTTTCTTAAATACATTCTCCCTATTCAGAATGTCAAGGAGAGAAGATGCTATGGTTAGGAACATGTAAGGAGAGGGACTGAAACAGTCCCTATCAGGATGATGTTGAGTTGGAGAAGGTGCTTGGTTTAATTTATTTGGTGAGAGAAGCTTGTAATCACCCTTGTGCAGAATTTCCCCTATCTGCCCCCAGGTTAAAACTTTTGCTTATGAGCTTTCATTAATTAAAATGAAAGATTATTTGGATATGACACTTTCACTTGTCCTAGGCATTGCATGAACTGCAACTGCACCCAGGCATTGCAAGGATATAGAAGAGGTCATGTACCATGCATTGATTTAATATACAGATATCAACTTGGAAGCATTACTTTGTAAAATGTGACTTTCTTAATCAATGTACTTCCTCCTTGCGTGTATTGAAGTACACAAAAATAATGGCCTGAATGTGCTTGGCACTTTACCTGTTAAAGGAAATGGATGGGGGGAGGGTATTGCTCAGTTTCCTTCCAAGGTTGTGTTAAAAGATTTGTATTACTTTATATTCCTGTTGGTACTCTACAACCACTACTATGGAGACTGTAAGATGAATTATTTTCTGACTCATGTAACAACTGACTTTTAATTTAAATTTGATCAGTAAGGACATATTCTGCTTGTACTTACACCTGTGTAAGTTTGTGGTTGGAATTGTTTACATACCTTTCTGAAAAGTAGTGTAGCAGGTCATTTAATGATGCTTCTTTGTGTCATAATTAAAGGTAATTTGTACTATGCTTTTAATTTCACTGTTAGGTAAGCCACACATTAAAAATGTAACCCAGTATTAGAATAGACTATAAGAGTGTAATTAGAATAGTAAATACCCGCTGTTAGAATCTGTATTGGTCAGGTTGAGCAGGTATATGGAATGGACAGGATGATCTAACAGGTCTTCACTTCCTTCTGTTCAGTGATTCTACTTGTAAATTTTTATTCAGGAGCATCATGAATACTACATGAAAAATGAAGTTATTACTTGCATAATTGCATGCAAAGTTGGGGATTTCAGTCGAATAACTTAAGAAATTATTAAACATTAATAACAAGTTTATATTACATAGTGTCTACTAATGAAATAGCTAGGAAATATAGACTGAATGGCTAGATAAAGAACTATAATAGACTCACTGGACCTATTCATATGAATATAATCCCATCGCCTTCAGTGAGGCTAGGAGGTAACTCATGAAGAAGCAGTAGTAGAGGTGCACAGGGCTAACAGCAAGCCAAGTTCTGCCCTCTCTTATTCCAAAGCAAATATGGTTGCCTCCAAAGGATCAATAATAGGCCTGTGCAAAATGGTTGTTTCGATTCAGTTTTGGATTTGGCCATTTCAGAGGGACAGTGATTCATTTCGGATCACTGTTTCATTTTGATTTGGCCGAGTCTGTTCTGGAATTTCAACGCTGTTTCGGTGATTTGGCCATAGGCTATAATGGAGAATCATTAAAATGCCTATAACTCTGTAATGTTTTGCCTGATTCAGATGCAAATTGCAGGAATGGTCACCCCTTCTGGAGGCACGAAGCCTGCCAAGTTTCAGGGAGATAGGTGCACAGGTTTCTGTGAAACCGCATCTCAATCTGTTCAAAGCAAAACTTGTATCACTTGCCAGAAAAGGCAGCATGCTGTCATCCCACACACAGATTCAGGAGCCTGCGCCTCCTTGGAGGGCTGCGGGACTGTGCCAGACTCCTCCTGGGGGGTGCGGCCCCTGGATCTGCATGCAGGATGACAGCAGGCTGCGCCGCCTGCCGCTGCCGGCTGAGGCCAGTGCAGCACTGGGTTCTTCCCGGCGCTTGGCGCAAGTTGTGCCAAGCAGAGTCAGGTGCTGGCACTGGCCCCAGCTGGCAGCGGCAGGGGCGGTTTACTCCCCGCCCCGCAGCGCAAAAGGCAGCATGCTGTCATCCCGCGTGCAGATCTGGAGGCCCGCACCCCTTGGGAGGGCTGTGGGGCTGTGCCAGACTCCTCCCAGGGGTGCGGGCCCCCGGATCTGCGCGCAGGATGACAGCAGGCTGCCATCCCTCCCCCAGAGCACTGGGATTGGAAGGGACCTCGGGGACAGATCGCAGACACTGGCCAGCTACAGATGTCAATATCAGAGCAGTCCTTCCTCCCACTCTTCCCCCTCCCTCTTAGTTTCTGTTTCCCTGCAAGCCTAGCTCCAAAACTCCAAAATTTTCCAAAATGTTTTGGATGATTTCATTTAGTTTTGGAGCATTCTGTTTCATTTCGGATTTGGTGTTTCAGGCACTGAAATGGCCCAAAACACCTCCAAAACAGATTCAAACACTAAAAGTCAGCACCACTAGATGTTTATCAAGAGTTTTTTATTTAAGCCTTCTGAAGGAGTTTTCAGTAAAAACTAGCCTTGACTTCCTGCAGAATAATAGAGCTACAGTCACAGTCCCTAAACAGTCTAAGGATAGAGTTTTTGACTTAGGCCCTGTAGACAGTGTCTTCTGAGACTTGTTCAAGTAAAATATGTTCTTTCTGGGAGTAAAAAACTTGTAATACAAAACCTGTATTTTAAAGACTTTGTCTCAGATCTCCAAAGGCATTTAGGCATCAAAATAAGGTTTGGCTCTTAGAAGACATCTTGCTCTTGCTTCTTATATGTCCCAAACTGCCAATTTTTACTTGTAGCAGTGACCGCTTATATTACTTCTTTGAGGGAGGGGCAGGGATCTTTTCCTTTTCTCAAAGAAAGCCCAGGACCTCCTTCTTCTTTACTATGGATGGGGGTTCAGATAACCTGTGAGTGCAAGTTATTAGGTGCTGTACAAACATTAGGGAGGGGAGATATTAGCCGCATATTTGGAGATATGATCTTGTGTGAGACCACACCACGTATTCATATTCACATGTATAGCTCTGCCAGACCCCACCAAAGAAACAACACCAATACTAACTACTCCTATACCATGCTATATTTCAAGTGCTTCACATGCATGAGCTAATATTCCACACAAAACTGTGTATGGAAGACTAAGATTGCAAAGTGCAACATTCAATCAAAAAATGACTAAAGTAAAATGTAATTTCACCTCCATTCAGGATGGCTGTGTCATATGATACAGTTTTAATTGCATATTACATATATTTTTCTTTTAGACCCTTGCGTCATTCAGTGAGAAGTGTAGAAGCTGCTCGGTGGGGGCATCTACGTGTTCATTAATGTGCCTTGCTATCGTGCATTAAATTTAGTACCTGTAATATGAGGTACTAAGTAAATGTGCACTAGGCTGCCCTAATGCACAGTAGTGAAAGTGCACACTTTTTTAGTGTCACTTAATGTACAGTAGCCAAATTTTACTGTGCATTAGTGTTTGCACCATTTTTGACGTGACATTCTAATGTGCAGTAAAATAGGCTACTGTGCATTAAAGCGCATGTATAGACACTCCCAGGAAATGTAACAGCTATCCAGTATTTAATGTCCCAATTTTTCAATGTGTGTCCTGATACTCTTACTCTTCTGACACTAATTCCTGTGCAGATTGAGGCAAGGTCTTGCACACCTGAACCTCTGGAATAGGTGTTACTGAATTGCTTTCCAAATTCCTTGCTTAATCCTTTTTTTCATAGGAGTTTTTTTGTATTCCATTGCTCTCACAACTGTTTGTTAATGTTGTAGCATCCTGGTTGTGTGATGTCCATTAACTCGGTATTTGTTTTCCAGTATGTCCTGTCTGTCCTGAAATTCACCTACCCTACCCTTTTCCAAGGGTAAGTACAATTTTAAAAATACATTTGTTTGAAATATGAGTATAATCAAAAAATATCTAGCTGTGCTGAAGCTAATTTTAGTGCCTCATGTCATTACTGGCTTTTCTTGTTTAGAGAACATACTCCATTAAGCCTTAGTAAAGTATTCATTAACTTGTCTTGGTTAATATTAAATGTCATTATGGTGAAGTTATCTGCTTACCATATCTGCAGATTCTCCATCAATTGTAGTTCTTTTGTTGGCTTTATATTTTAACTTAGGAAAGCAGCAATTATAATATTCCCAATTTCCTTTAAAAAGTAGTAATTATGGTTTATATGCATACGTGTTTAATTTTTTCTATTATGCTAACATGTAAGCTAGCTTTTGTATCTAGGTTCCCACAAATATAAGCACAACTTATTTTCAAGCTTAGCCCATTTATTAATTGTAATTCTATATAATAAATGATAGGCCTTTTTAAAGGGCTGTAATGAAAATTATTCTGGTTTGGCCAAGTTATTTGTGCTGTACTTACTATCATTGCTGTTGTTGACTTTTAAAAGACATTGAATGAACTTATGGCCCCATTCAAATTGTGAGGTCAGGATTTTACCCGTCGTTTTTGCCTCCTGTGCACTAAACTACTGTCAGTAATATTGGTGAACAGTGGGAGCAGAATCTTGTTTCACTTTACACACCCAAGTGGCAGTTACCCAGATGCATAACTGCCATTTTTGGCACTTACACACAAATTGCAATCCTACTTCATGTGCAGTGTGGACATGTAAGCAGGTACTCTGTATGTGTGTATAGGAGTGTAAGTACTGACATTCTGGCCTGGCAAAAAATGGGTGAAAGAGAGCAGCTCTCCCATGTTTTAGCACAATGGTGCTCAGCCTTCTGCCTCTGTGGGCCAGATGAGTGGCGCGGGGCCAGTCCACGGGCCAGATTGGGCCATGCACTGCCTCGGCTGGGTACCTGGATTGGGTCCCAGACTTGCCCAATGTACTAGGATCAGGCCCTGACACCCTGCCCTATCTCTGCATGCTAGAATTGGGATCCAGGGTCCTGTGCTGCCCCTGGCTGCTGGATTCAGGCCCCATGTGCCAGGACTGGGCTCTGTGCTGTCCCTGGCTCCCAGGATCAGGCCCCATGTGCTAGATTCAGGGCCTGTATGCTAGGAGTTGGGCTCTTGTGCTGGAACTGGGCCTCAGGGCTCTGCACCATGTCTGCCCAGTCCTGTGTGCCAAGACTGGGACCTATGCTGCCCTGTGTGTCTGATCCAGCACGCAGGGCCATGCTTTCCTTCCTGCAGGGCTCCCCAGATGCCTGGAAATTTGGCAGCAGGAGAGTGGTGCTACTGTTCCCTTGCTGCCAAATTTTCTGACTCATAGGGAACCCTGTGAGCCAATATCACCCACAGATGGAGACTGGATTTGGCCCCCACAGTCTGGTGGTTGAGCACCCCTGTTTTAGCTTAATTGCCTAGTAGTCAGTGTGCTTATCCAGGTTCTAGGCTAGGGTTGGGCAAAATGCGGCTCACGGGCCAGATGTGGCCCCTAAAAAATTTAGAAAATGAATCTGCCCCTGGCTGCCAGTCATGCAGCCTTCAATGGCTTGCCAAAACTCAGTAAGCGACCCTCTGCCCAAAATAATTGCCTGCCCCTGTTCTAAGCTCTCTCACCCAGAGGGTGGGTCTGAACCTACATCTCTCTGACTGCCTAGCATAATGGGGAGGTTTCTGCTCACTTGGGAGCAAGGATACATGCAGAGGCAGATTCAGGTTGGGGGTGGGGGGGAGTTTCACCCTGTCACCTCTTGTTCCTGCTCCACCCCAAGTTTGAAACCAACTGCCTGGCAGTAGCAACAGCATTTCTATCCACGCTAGTGCAAGGGAGTGGATTGACTCTAGGGCTTATTCTGATCCACCTGATTCCTTCTAAACTCTTCATTCCACAGGTGTTAATGACCCTCTCTCCTTTTTAAACAGTCTTGATGTTTGCTAATCAAGCCATCCTTTCTTTTGCAGTTCTGCTGTCTGTTAGCTGCTCCTGGTAATGTAGCTTCTATTTCACAGCCCTTCAGACTGCTTGTAACTCTAGCTAAAAACATTAACCAAGGTTTTTGATACATACGATATAGCAAATTAATGCATATTTCAATAAAGTTATATTTGTTTTTGTTTCAGTCTTAAACTGAATAAATAATATAGCCCCAGCACCTTACATACAATGGATTCCTCTTATTGGAATCACTTTGGGAAATAGTGATTTGATTCCATTAAAAGGAGACCTTTTTTTAAGAACACAGATCTCACTCCTCCTCCACAGTCCCCTGGCCCAGCTCATGCCTCTCTCACTCCCCTACCCCCCCCACCCCCAGCCCTGCCAGAGGGAGCCCCAGCTGCCAGGGCTACGGGGCCTGGGACCCAGGTCTGCAGCCCCCTGTCCTTGGCAGGAGGCGGCAGCTGCTGCATCAGAGTGGAGCCCAGCTCCCCCCTGCTGCTGCCTGCTGCGGGCTTGGGCATGGGTGTTGGGGCCAGCTCCCCAGTGTGACCCGCACTTCCAGAAGGGCAGTGGGGGGGGACCCATACTTCCCAGATCTGTACATGGGGTCGGGGTGGGGGTGGGTGCAGGCAGTGAGGGCAGCAGCGTGGGGTTGTACCCCTCAAAGCTACTGCGTATGCAGGGGGCACGTTGCCAGGGAGCCTAGCCCCTGTGCCCATCCCCCCAGATAAGCTACCCTCAGCCCCGTCCCACTCCACGCTGGTGCCCCAGCCCTGCCCAAATAGCTCCCTCCCTCTCTACAGGGGCTCAATTCCCGCCCTCCTCCCTCCAACTTACCTCCGGGATCTGCTCTCCAGGCTGCCTGGGGCTGTGCACATGTACATGCACATGGCTCCCCCTGCCTGACCACCCTCCTCCTGCTCCCTCCCAGCCCCCTGCAGGCTGGAACTCTTCCAGTCTGCAGTGGGCTTCTCACAATACTGCAGAATCCCCAGGCTTCTCCTGTAAAATGATTCCAGAAACCAAAAATTGTGATTCTAATATGAGCAATTTTTTACATGTAATAATATACAAATGGTTTTGGTTTCCCCGTATTGATTCAAATAAGCGGCTGATTCTATTAACCAGCGATTCTATAAAGGGGAATCCACTGTATTTGTAAATCTTCTAGTTTCTTTTTAACTGGAGAAAAACATGTTGTATTATATGTGATGATATAACACACCATCTGCATCCCCTTTTCAATATTCTTGATCTACCTCTAGGCATAGGCTAGAACCCAGGGAACCCTCTCTCTGCCAGAGCAGCATCCATTCCACTGAGCCATACATGTTCTGGTTTGTCCTCTTTCCCCTGACTGTGCTCACATCTCCCTTACCTTGGCTGCCCAGAGGGCCAACTTCAAAAGGAGGGCTGGAGAGGGAATTCGGTGAGTGCCACTAGGCTGTTGAGCTAAATACGTGGGAGGGCCCCCTCTCCTTCTACTCTGGTGTCAAACACCTGCTACTCATGAGTTTTTGCTAAGTATAGGTTTGTGACTTATATTCAAGGCAGGCACGCATGTTTTTAAATCTTATACCACTAGATCATCTTTTCTCTCTTCTTTCCTTGCCTACATTGCACACTGATGACTGACTGCAAGGAACATTAGAAATAATTTCCATGAGAATCTCCTTCTTTTTTTTTTCTTTGGGCCATCAGGTCTGTTATACCTAACAGGAGTTATAAACTCTTTCTGTAGGAGTCTGTTCTATGGTCTCTATGTGCACAAAAATTACTAAACTATTTTTCTGGGTAAATACGTAGAAAACAAATAGTAAGTTGGCATTACGAAGTCAGCATTCACTAGCAGCTGCCAGAATGTAGTATCTGAGTTACCACAGTTATTTCCTTTATTGAGTACGTGGGAAATGCTATTCTGTGTCAGTTATCTCAGTAATGGTCAGTAAATACTGATTTTTAAATGTGTTTGGTTTTTGAAGACTATTTATAAAGCCTAACCATGCTTTCCCTTTAGATTTGCAGTGGGTGACTAGGGAAGGAAAAAAGAAAACCTGCCATAATGTTGTCACTGTGTGTGGCATGAAACATTCTCTCTCTAATATAAGACTTTATCTTGCATATGGCCATGGACCTTGAGCTATCATTAACTTCTTCAGGAGTGGAAGACACTCAGCACCTTGTAGCATAATAGTCCTCAGTACCAGAGATGAATGTTCTCCATAGGACTTGATCCTGTACTGTGAAAGTTAATGGGAATTTTTCATTAACTTGAACAAAAGTAGGATCACATCCACAGTCAACATCAGGCTTTCTCAGCTTTTAAACCATTTGTATATTTGTCATCTGGATCAGGTAAGGGAAAGTTGCATTGATTGTTCTTCATGTTCCCATGGACAATGAATGAACTGTTTTTTACTAGCATTGCACTCCATAGTACGGCATGCGATAAAGGAGTTCTTTTGTTTTGTTTTGTCTTTTACAATGAATATAACTAATAAACAAACCGACCCCATTGTTCACAACAGTTCCACATATTACAGTGGTTTAGCTTTACAATGCAGTGGACTTTTTTGAACTATACTAAACATTTCCTGAATACATTTCCTTCCTTTATATAGTCTATTTGGTTTGATTTGGGGGTAGCTACTGGAATGATGGGGTTGAAATTTACTCGCAAGGAAGAATTTCCAGGGAGGATAATAGGGTTGCAAGGTAAACAGATTCAAAGATGATATTCCACTTTATGGAGTAGTACAATCAGAGGTGCAAGGTTACCTATGGCAGAAGCCTCCCTATGCTATGTGTCAAAGTACATTTCAAAGGATATCTCCCTTTCAATTTACAGAACAAAACAGAGTGACTGCTTTTTGGTTTTCTTCTTTTTGTTGCTTCAGATGGCAGACCTTAATTGGCGGACTTCTGCTTCACATTTCTTGGAAGCTGGGCTGGGTAGAGATAAGCATCTGCTCAAGGTACAGTGACCACCACAATGCACAACTAACATTTATTTTTGACGCAGTGGGTGCGTCTACATGAGACTCTTACTGTGCGTTAGGCTAATACACTGTGCAGTAGCATATCATAGCAAAAACTGTGCTAATAGCCTACTGAACAGTGTTATTAGGCTAATGCACAGTAAGTGTCCCTAAATAACCATTCACTGGCGCTGCAGTGCATGCAACAGGAGACCAGCAGGCACAGAAGCTTGGTCCTCCAGGGAGTTGCTCTGGGTACTGGCCAGAGCTTCTCTACTCATTTAGTTGCATCCTGGGTCCTCCAACATGCCAGGAGGAGCGGGGAAAGGGTGGTTTGCCTGAAGCAGCAATTTGTCCCTCTCCAAAGTGGGAGCAGGGGCATGCTCTGTGGCAAATAATAGTGGCACAAATTTGTGCTGCTACTGTTTTTGCCCCTGCAAGCGCATGACCCTGCATGTGGGGATGCACCCCAGTGTTGCACTTAATGGCAGTTAGACAGTGAGTGCAATTTGGAATATAGATTACCATGTTCACACAGATCTACTCCCAAGTAAAAAGTTGGATGCATCTTATGAGTGATGTGAAGGTTTTTCATGAAGAGCAAGCGGTGATAACTGATGGCATGACAGGTTACTTGATGTACATTTTTTTTTTTTGCATTTAAACGGGCAACTTGTGAAATTTCCATGGTGATATTAGTTGAGTGAATCTCAACAAAAAAAGCATGTGCACATTTTGAAAAAGATACATATTAAATAACTGAATATACTAGTTTTTCACGGAATATTGTTTTTATGAGCACTGGCCCAAATTTTGGGTTTACTTGAATGAAATTGCACAGATTTCAGTGAGATTTCAGAGTAAGTGGTACTAGAATTTGACCCTGTAGGTAATATGGATAAGTGGGAATATTTTAGGTTAAAGTTTTCCTTGATTTCAATGGGAATAGGATTCGGCTCTAATAGTCTTGTTCCGGGAGGATAGTAGGAGGTGTAATGACTAGTACTGTTAATAAGCTTTTATTATGTAGGTATTTCTCTTTGCCCTGGAATTAGCTCTGGAACTAGCTCTAGCAATTCATTCTGAGTTAGTTGGGAAATCATATCTTCCCATAAATAACAATAACTTTTTTGCTTTCATCAACATTTTTTATTTTCTTTGTAAAAATACACATTTTTTGTCAAATTATAAAAAACACCACCAAAAACAAATGGGAAAAATGTTATATATGTGTTTTTCTTTTAATTCAATGAAAACTTGAGACATTTTTGAAGAAAAAAATGGACATCATTTTTTGTTGAAAAGTCATTTTCTATGAAGAAAAGTTTGATATAAATTTACTTTTACCAGTTCCAGGGGTGTAGGTTGTAGCCATGTTGGTCTAAGGACATAAGCAGACAAGGTTCTTTGGGTGAATCTGATATCTTTTATTAGACCAACTTAAATAGTTGGAAGACCATATTTAAGCAAGCTTTTGGGTTCAAAAACCCTTCATCATGTCTCTAGTGGGTTATGGAATAGAGAAAATCCCACACAATTTACTGATTCGTTTTGATGCACTGGCTGGGGGAGTAGTTAGCTGATTGCACGATTTCACAATGATTACACACTTAATTTATACAACACAATTTTATTTTAAAACTCTTTGCTATGTATATAACACTGCTTAGCTTTAAGAAACACCACAAACATTAAAAACACAATAATTACATATATCAGAAACAATGCTCCGAATGCACTTCCTTCCCAAACAACGCTATAAGAATTAGTGTTACAAAAACAACTACAATTACAACTAAAAGTTAAATTTGAATCAATACTGTTATTTTTCATAATATACTTACAATCCTAGAATTCCGAGAAGCCAAATACCAAAATATGGTTTCATTCCTCAGTAGTACGATTTAATGGGTTGGCCTCAGTAGTACGGTTCAATAGGTTGGCCTCAGCAATACGATTCAATGAGCTGGGCTCACCAGTGATAGGACTACGTTCCCTTCCTTCAGTCCCTTTCGGGTGCTCCGCGGCTTCAGCGTGAACTAAGAGATTCTGCTGTCATTGGGCTCCTCCTACTCAACTTATTATACCTCCCAAATTTGGGCTCAGATCTTACTCAACAGAAATTACCTTTGTTGAGCATTTTTAAATTATTCTTGGGGAGACTTCCATATCACTGTAAATACCCTTTTCTTAGCAATTTGGTTAAAAGGCCTTAGGCTTTGATGTCTCGGAATTCAGGATATTTGCTTTCTTTGTAAAAAACTTCTAAAGATACAATTTAAATTAAGACTTTAAGTGAAGTCAGGACATTTCGCACATAGCTCCGAAACAATGAGCTAGATAAGGAGATAAATCCTATCTTCTTCCTGAAACTGGCTAATAGGCAACCTTTACAAACATTCAAACTATTTCATTCAATATGACACATCAGGCTAAGGAAGTTTCAGAAATTGATGTGTGCTCTTCCTGGATGGAATGAAAAGTAAGGAAGCCAGAGGCTGGGCTGGTATGCATACAAGATAGGCAGTCAGTGAAGATGTAGATTGAGGAGATTGACTCACCCAATGACTCCTTAATCTACATCTTCACTGACTGCCTATCTTGTATGCATACCAGCCCAGCCTCTGGCTTCTTTATTTTTCATTCCATCCAGGAAGAGCACACACCAACTGCTGAAACTTCCTTAGCCTGACGAAGGGTTTTTGAACCCGAAAGCTCGCTTAAAAATGGTTTTCCAACTATTTAAGTTGGTCTAATAAAAGATATCAGATTCACCCAAAGAACCTTGTCTGCCTTTTACCAATTCTATTTTTATATTGTGGCAATAAAGGATTAGAGCCACTAGATGGTAGTCTACTCTTGGAAAACTGAGCATGACAATCCCTGAGAGACGCTTAGCGTTTTGTGGAATTGATTTTGTATGTTAATGACTAAATTAAATAATCAGGGATAGTCAGTGATTAAATTTCAGTAAAGCACTTAAGTACAGGCTTAAGCATGTCTCTGTTTAGCAAAGAATGTGAGAACATGCTTAAAATTTTAGCACCTATTTTAGTGTTTTCCTAAATTAGGACCCTAGTCCAGATTTCTCTCATACAAACACGGGGTCCTCTGTAGCTTTCTTCTACTCTTGTTTCCTAACAATGCCCCCTTGCCTCCCTCCCCACCCTCCCCATGTATAATTAACACATTCTGGAAGAACATGTTTGTCTTCAGAATACTGGCCTAATGATCTGCCTTTTCTGTGTAAAGTGTAGGGGTAGATGCCAAGAATACCGTGTCCAGTTTCCAACATTCCTGTATTGGAAAGATGTACATCCTTAGCAGTTTAACATATGTGTAGGCTCTCAATTTCTTCACCTGCCTGACAGATCTTAAATGCTTCCGGAACAAATCTGAATTATCTTTCCAAATACCTCATAATTTTCTAATACATGGAGTTTACATACTGTCAACTTTGACATTAAAGACTAACAAACCCCAAACTAGGAGTTTCATAAGAAAACAACGCACGCTCAGTTCCACACTCCGTGTTGCTTAGAGGAAGTTTTCTTTAGCTTTCTGGATGCTCTACATTTTTTTTACCTGCTTTCTGTCCCCTCTCTGAAAATGAAGGATTGATTCACCTTCCTCCTGATTTCAGGAGCCTGGCTGTTAGAGGTGCATCGATACATCGGTCCGATATTGGATTGGTACCAATATAAAGAAAATTGTCTATATCGAATATCAGCCCAATGGCATGGAGAGCTAGTAAATTGGAAGTTGGGGGAAGGAAGGGGCTTGGCGGGGGGTGCAGATCAATGGCCCCGGTGGTGAGGGAGGGGGCAGGGGCAGGTGCTGCCCAGCCAGGGGAGCATGGCATGGAGGTGTGGCTGGGGAGGTGGAGGCAGCTGCCGCTGCTGCTTGCACCCTGGGAGGGTGGTGGGGCTTGTGCCCCTGGATCTGCGCAGCTCAAGGCAGGCTGCAGCTTCAGGATGGAGCTGGAGCCAGTGCTGCATGGGGCTATTCTTGCCAGGGGTGGGGCTTGGGTGGCACTGGGAGGGGGCTGTAGCCACCCCAAATTTTACTGCAGCTCTGCTCCCAGCCCTACGTTGCTGCCCACCACCCAGCACAGCTATGGCTTTTCCTGGCATTTGGGTAGAGGCGGGGTGTTCAGCCGGGGCTACACTGGGTGGCGGTGCATGGCTGGGAGCAAAGCTTCAGAGAAATTTGGGGTGGCTGCAGGCTCCTTCCAGCACTGTCAGAGCCCGCTCCGAGCCCAGCCCCCACCAAGAACAGCCCCATGCAGTGCCAGCTCTGGCTCTACCCAGCAGCTGCCGCCCACCCCACGCCGTACATACCTGGGGGCACGTGCCCACTGCCTCCACTCTCCTGGGGTGCAAGCAGCAGTGGGAACTGCCCCCATCCCACAAGCCATGCCTCTGTCCCATGTCCCCCCCACCCTGGCTGGACAGCACCTGCCCCCTCCCTCACCATGGGGGGCATTTATCTGCCCCCCATGCTCCCTCCCTTCCTCCCCCCTCCCCTTCCACCATACTGGACTTACCACCTGATGGCAGCTGTATCAGATCAGTATCAGCTGATATGCCTCCTTAAATATCTGCTATTGGTATTGGCCCCCAAAATCTCTATCCATGCACCCGTACTGGCTGTAATTTTTGGTAGACGTTAGACCAGGAAGCAGTAAGGAGAACTGAAGATATTCCTTGTCATGGAACTGTGTATAACATCTCCATAGTACTTCCAGTATTGTATGTACTGTGTTGCAGTACTCTGGGTTTCAAACTGTAGCCATTCAAAGAAAACCATCATCTGCTGCCTAGCTTTGCTGCCTGCTGACTACCTTATCTACCAGCATTGCTGAATGACGAGACCACTTATTTCATCTGAAGCTAATTATCCTACCTGCAGCATCACATAGGCTAGGGACAGACATTCAAAAAGCCTAACCCTGAATTGATTCAATCTTTGCAGGGTAGTCTAACCTGGCTAGGCTA